CGTGTCCATGGGGCTCTGTGGGCCCCCCGGCTCCATACATCCGCACGTGGCCCTGCTCCCTGCCCACCGCTCTCCTCTCTGCGTGGAAACACAGCCAGCACCATCAAGTCTCACCTCTTCACCCCTGGGACCTGATGCCCTCCCTGCCCCAAAGGTGCCCCCAGCTCCGCACGTAGGCCTGCTCCTGACCCGCCGCCCAGGATGGAGGGACCGTGTCTGGGGGGCCCCCGCGGCTCCTGGTGGGCTGGGGGTGGGGGTCCAGGGAGGAGGGTGGGGAGGACAGGAGCTGGCTGCCCTCCCTCGGGATGCTGGGCCCTGAGGCCTTCTACCCGCACCTGCGGTCCTCACCAAGTCTAGGGAGTTTCCCCGTTAATTTCAACATAATTTCAACCTGGTGACTACCATAAGATGGTTAGTAATGAATTCAATATTCTCCCAGTGACCGGCTGGAACAGCAATGAGCAAGTATGTCCTGAATGGGTTCACAGTGGGCAAGCTCAGTCGTGTCTGACTCTCTGTGACCCCATGGACGGCAGCCCACCAGGCTCCCCTCTTCATGGGATTTTCCAGGCAAGCGTACTGGAGCGGGTTGCCGTTTCCTTCTCCAGGGGACAGTTCCGACCCTGGGATCGAACCTGTGTCTCTTGTGCCTCCTGCATCAGCAGGCGGGTTCCTTACCACAGGCGCCAGCTGGGAAGCCTGTATGTTTTCATAGCACCTGAAAAATTATTTATGTAGTAAAATGCTTTGGTGGTTACAATTAATTACTTTTTATCACAGGATGCCTGTGGAGACCATGATCCGTAACATCTCCGTTCACGACATGCCTTTCGGAGGGCGGACTGCATCAGCACTGACCCTGACACGTGCTGGCGGCCACCGTCAACAACGGGAGAACAGGGGACGGGGACAACAGGCTGAGGGACGTGGGCAGCGCCCATCAGAAGTGCTCCATGGGGGACAGGCACGTGCCTGCTTCCTGCCCGGCCTCTGCCCACAGGGCAGGCTTGGCCAAAAAAAAAAAAACATCGGACCTGAGCCTGACCAAACCCCCAGGTCCGACAACCAATTTACAGAACGCCAGGGGAGAGGGCACGGTCAGTGGACAGCACGGGAATCCAATCTGGAAAGAGAGACCGTGGGAAAGTGTACGGGACAAATGACCCTGTTTCTTCATCATGGACAAAAGAGAGGGAGGGGGGAGCGGGAATGAGACGGAGCCTGCAGTTTGAAAGAGATGTGAGAGACACGCCAGCCAATCACAGCGTCTGGACCTGATTTGGTTCCTGATTCGAATGAACACGCTGTGAGAAAAGAAAAGGAAAAAAAAAAACAATTCACGCCACGGGAAGGGAAATCCAAACACTCATTGGAAGTCTGATGATAGTAAAGAGATTGTTATTAATTTTTTACGTGTGATAATGACACTGTGGTTAGGTTTTTTGAATAAGGAATCTTTATCTTTTGTTGAAATATTTACAGATGGAGTGTTGAGACACTTGCTACTTGTGGCGGGGGTGGGTGGGAGGGAGATGGGTGGGGATGCAGATAAAACGAGCTTGGCCACAGCGTGGCAGCCGTGGGGGCTGGGCGATGGGCATGGGGAACCATTCCGTCTCTACGCTTGAAACTTTCTGCAATGAAAACTCTTCAAAAGAAAAAAAAAAAAGCTATTCTCATCACAGAAAACTTGGGACACACAGAAAAGTAAAACGAATCCCATCAATGTCACCACCCATGGAAGCCACCACAAACGAAGTCTCGCTTTTACTGTGAAAACTCATATCTGCATGTTCACATGCTTATTTTATGACACTTTTGGGAAAGATGGTTGGAACAGGGAGACGAGAGAGCAAGCCCAAGGCCATATGGGGTCCCCCTCCGTTAGCTCACAGGTTCCATCCAATTCAAACTCCAGATCGGCTGGCCTGATGACCTCCAGCCACACACACAAAGCGCGTCCACTCGCAGGCCCAGGAGAGGCCCGCCGACCACCCGCCTCAAAACCCGGAGTCTTGGGGACCCTCTTCTCCCCCGGGAAGAGCTGCAGATTCAGTCACTGATTTCTCATCGACAAACACACGTGTAAACACTGTGCTTTTACACACCGACCGCTGGCGGGCCCGTCCCCACGTAAAGCTGACAGGCACCCAGCCCAGGCCTGGGGACCTGGGGGCCCCCGGAGACCCACAGAGGAGGGGCCGTGGCAGGACCGTCTGCGCCACACCCCCCACAGTTCACATGGTCACCCAGTGGGGTGGGCTCCCAATGGTGTCACGAGCAGTTTTTTTTTCTCCTGTCAGTAATTTCAAGTGTTTCATTTCAGTTTTGGAAAAACCTACTCGTTGTCACAAAGATGGGTACATTCTGGGTTTCCTCTCCACCTCAAGCATCCCTGAGTTGGGGGAGGGAGAGAACGGACAGCCTGGGGAGCTGTGAGGGGTGTGTGTGTGTGCGTGCGCAGGGGGGCGGCACGTGTGTGGGGGGGCGGTGTGTGTGCAGGGGTGCATGTGTCTGCTGGGGGTGTGTGCGGGGGGGGGGCATGTGCGTGCTGGGGGGGGTGTGTACGTGCCAGGGTGTGTGTGTGTGTGTGCGCGCACAGGGCGGCAGTGTGTGTGCAGGGGTGTGTGTGTCTGCCGGGGGGGGGGGGGTGCATGTGTATGCTGGGGTGTGTGTGCGGGGTGGGGTGGGGGTTGTGTGTGCGCGCGCGGGGCGGCACACAGGGGTGCCCGGTGGGACAACCCACACAAAGAGCCCCGGGTCTCAGGCAGCTCCCACCACAAGCTGTGGGCGATACAGCCCCCCTTGGGTAAGCACGCCCTAAAAGCACGACGGAGAGACATCCCGGCTTTGAGCGCTCATGGCGACACCGGCCACTGAGGCCTCAGAGGAAACGGACTTCGCCGCTGCCGTTCTTTGAAAGTCTGCAGTGAACTTCCCATCGCGAGGTGACCCAAGTGCGCACGTCCAACTTCCTTCCTCCGAGCTCAGTAAGGCTGCCTGACCGCTCTCCATGTGCTGAGCCGACGCCCCCGATGCTGACTTGAAAGAGCGGCTTTCAACAGCCCCTCTGCCCCGTGGATGCAACCACCCGGGTCGAGCTTCCTCAAGGAAAAAGAACGTAAAGCCACGCAGGCTGGCGACACGTCTGTCCACAGGCCTGGACGTTTCAGAAACAACTGCCCTCTCCCAGGAAGGCAGACTCGGACGTCCGCTCGGGGTTTCTCTGCCAGCGTGCCCATCCTGTTCCCATGAGTTCTCCATCAGCCCAGTGCAGTGAATCTGAAAACAGCCCGATGAGAGCCGTGGGGAGGGCCCCGGGGGGGAGAGGGGCGGCCGTCCGGGCTGCTGGCTCCGAGGGCCAGGGAGGCAGCCTGATCGCCAGTCACGTTTCACAAACAATGGGCCCGGGACTCGCCTATTCAGCGCGTGAACGGAGGACTCCTCCAGCTGAAATTTCTTCCCCTTGACTTAGAAAAAATACTAGTGCATTCATGACTCGGTAAGCCTTGCCTCGCCAGGGCTGAACTCACTCAGTGGCTGGGCAGGGAGCTCTGAAAACCAGACTGCTGGGCAGACGCCCTTCCAGAACCTGAATTTATACAAAGAAGCCCTAGCAGACCGGACCTCCGAGGGCCACAGGGCAGGGAGGCGAAAGGTGCTGTTTACCTGTCACTTTCTCACCAGGGGAGGGGCTGGCCCCAGCATGCACTTAATGGCCTGGATGGGGGGCGTGTAGGTTGTGGAAAAGACACAACAGAGGGATAGCAATCACTGGAGAAGACAGCTCTGTTACTCATCAAGTCCTGACTTTACAGAAACACATACCTTTCATGTTTGGAGAACAAAGTTTGTCTACGGCTTTACCTGCCCCCCCACCCCCAGACCCCCCAGGCCCTAAACACCAGTAAGTCCTTGCTGATGTTGAAAATTTCTCAGTACAATACTTAACAACCAAACGTGCTGAGATCTTAGAAAGGGGAGAAGGCTATAGAAACAGGCTTTGGGCCCTGGGACTAACCCCACCAAAAATCCTGTGGACCCAGGATGCTTAGAAAAGTGAGAGTAATTAGTCAGAGACAACTCTGGAACACAAGCACGCTGCAGAAACATAACACTGGTGAGGAGAAGCAACTACTACAGAGAAAAAGAAAGTGCCCAACGCGGCATGACTGCCTACACGGGGTTTCTCCTGATCCACACATGGGAGAAACCAAGGACCTCCTGGGTAGGGCGGCCAGGCAGGCCGGGAACCGGAAAGGCCAGGGAACACGAGGGTGTTGCTCAAGTCCCACAGGGCATCAGTTACCTGTCCCCCAAGCCTGGCGGGTCCGTTTCTCCTTGCCCTGCCTCCCTGCTGGGACGTGCCCTCCTGCCCAAGAACCCCAACTGTGCCCTGGATGCCCCCAGTCATGGGGACCCCTGACCTGCGTCCTCAGATACACCAAGGAGCGAACACTTCCTGTCCCCACCCCAGCCCACTCTCCTGCTGTCCCTTCTGGGCCCAAATTCAGACCCAGTCCCTACTGAAGGGGCCTGGCCTTCCGGGCACCCCCCCCCCCAACCCCAGGGACCCGCGCAGACCTTCTTGTGCAACCCTTCCAGCCAGTCCGTTTGAGGGCAACCGCAGTCCAGACAAGGGGCAGCGATAGGGTGTCCCTGGTGTCCGCGTCCTGGGGGAGGGCAAGGGCGACCCTCGATGCCCTGGGCCGAGGCAGGGCAGGGGTCAAGAGAGGCCCCGTGTCCAGATCGGGAGGAGACGGGGAGACCACACGCTCTGCTGGGGGGGGGGGGCGGGCAAGGGCGACCCTGAGGCCCCGCCCGCGATGGGGGGCTGGGGGCTGCCCCTGGCCCAAGGCAGGCTGGGGTCAGGAGGTGACTCCTGTCCAACGCCGGGCGGGGATGGGGGGCGGGGGGCGACCCCAAGCCCAGGCGGAGCAAGGGCGACCGTCAGGGGTCGGACGGAGGACCGTCCCCGGGGTGGGGGCCGCGGCACTCACTGCTTGGGCAGCTGCAGGGCTGGCGCGCCGCGCCGCTGGAAGGCCCCGTCCACGAAGACGCCGTTCTTGCCGAGGCAGCGCAGGTAGAAGTGCGGCTCCTGGAAGCTGAGCTGCAGGTGGCGCCGCGAGATGAAGCTGGACAGGCCCATGCTCAGGTCCACCGAGCCCTGCGACGAGTTGCGGCCGATGGTGACGCTGGGCTGCCGCATGAGGAACTCGAACTCGCGGCCCTCCAGGCGCGCCAGCGCGGGCCCGGGGCTCCGGCGCACCGAGGCGGCGGCCGCGGCCACCAGGGCCTCGCCCGCCGCGCCCCCCGCGATCGCGCCCGGCGGCGGCGGCGGGGGCGGCGGGGGCTGGGCGGGCGGCGGCGGCGACGGCGACGGGGCGGCGGCGGGCGCGGCGGGCGGGAAGGCCGCGGCGCACAGCACCGGGCTGCAGGGCGCCGAGCGCAGCGCCAGCAGGGCGCGGGCCCCGCCGTCCTCGCCGACCTCGGCCATGTTCGCGCAGCTCCGGGCGGCCTCCGGCGGCGGCGCGGCGCGCGGGGCGGGGCTCCAGGCGCGGCGGCCGCGGGATCCCGGCCCGGAGCGCTCGGAGCGGAGCCGGCGGGCGCGGCGCGCGCGGGGCCGCCAGAGGGACGTGTCCGCGCGCCGCGCCTAGCCCGCCGCGCCCGCCCCGGGGTGGCGCCCTGGCCGCCGCCGCCGCGCCCGGCCGTGGGGAGCCGCCTCCTCCGGCCCCGGGACGCGGGAGGGGAACCCCTCCCACACCCCACCCCCCACACACACCCGAAAAAGCCGCACTGGAAAGTTTCGATCCTGGGCCACTCGCTGTAGAAAGGGACCACTGACGTCAGCAGCCTTCTGGGCTCTAGAGGCTCCACCCGACACCCCAAAGTGCGATCGTACTTAAAGCACCAAGACTGCGGGGTCTCGCGCTGTAACTGGAGTTTGCCTGAAGTTGCAAGCGACCCCTGATGCCCCGAGGTCCAATTCGGAGTCCAGTCACTCAACAAGTAGCTACACGAGTGACCCCGAAAAGCAGGCTAGGCGCCTAGGCCCTTACATCCGTTACAGTCTAATGGGGGCTTGGGGGAGGGAGAGAGATGCTTGCAGGGGGGATCTTCTGTGAAAAGGCAGATCTGGCTACTTCAGGCATCCTTCAGAAGTGCTTCATGCCTGTTCCTGAATCAGCCAGGGCCCTCTAAAAAAGAGGCGGCAGTGTTTGCGCACTGTCATCATTTAATAATTACTGGGGTGGGGAACAGGCCCTCCCTGGTAGAGCTTACAGTGTAGTGGCACATGCAGACAGAAATCAAGTAACATTCTAGCATATACAAAACTACAGCTGTCTCAAGCCTGGGGCCTTGTTGCAAGGTGACATGTGTAGGGAGATGGGCCCAGCCCCTTCGCCTCCCCCCTCCCCAGGATGGGAAGCTTGTCTGCTTACCCACTGTCCAGTCTGGGGCTGCAGTGGGTATGAACCCAACCATCAGCTGATTGGAAACAGCGGAACAGACGGGGTGGGTGGGTGGGTGAGAGGTGGGGATGGCATTCCAGCCAAGAACAGCGTGAGCCAAGCAAAGGGAGCAAGGTGCTTTCCAGGGACTGACGGGCGGCTGGAAAGGGGAGAGACCAGATCAGCCGAACCGGACCGGTCGTGTAACTTGGGTCTGATCCCAGGTCAGTGGGGACCACTGAGATGTGGTGAGCAGAAGGGCAACATGTGGACCACAAATTCGAAACAGGATCACTGGCTGTCGTATGAAGCCTGAGTCGCGGAGGGGCCAGCGTGACTGTGGGAGACTGGTTAGGAAACTAGGAGACCAGGCAAGAGGCTGCATCAGGGAGGTGGAGACACACTCAGAGGGTCGAGAGTGTTTATCCCAGACAGAGACGTTTACAGACACGCTGGCGGTGGGAATGGAAAACCGTGCAGCCCCTCTGGGAAACAGTGGGGCGGAAAACACATGCTCGTCTGATTCAGCAGTTCCACTTTTGGGTCTGTGCCCACGAGAATTGAAAGCGGGGTCCTGAGATGGGATTCATACCCTCATGTTCATGTTCACAGCAGCATTATTCAGAGTGCCCTAGGAAGCCAGAGGCCCACTGACATGTCCAATGGGACATTATTCAGCCTTAAAGACAAAAGGAAATTTGGACACATGTGACAACATGGATAAACCCTGGGGACAAAGACACTAAGTGAAATCACATGGTCACAAAAACACAAATCCTGTCTGAGTCTGGTTCTCTGAGGTCCCTGGAGGAGTCAAGTTCACAGAGACAGAAAGTGGAAGGGCTGGTACTTCGCCGGGGAGACAGGGAATGAATGGGGAGTTTAGTGTTCAGTGGGGACAGAGCTTCAGTTCTGCAAGATGAAAAAGCTCTGGAGGTGATGGCTGCACAACGCTGTGAATGGACTTTACCAAACTACACCTAAAATAGTTAAGGCACTTCCCTGGTGGTCAAGTGGCTAATTTGGGGTGGGGGGCGGTGCTGGGTTTGACCTCTGGTCAGGGAACTAGATCTCATGGGCTGCCACAAAAATCCTTCTTGCCACAACTAAGACCTGGCACAGTCAAATAAATTAAAATATTTTAAAAAATAGTTAAGATGGTAAATTTTATGTATTTTACCACTTTTCTTTTTTAAGAAAAAGTTCTATATACAACCTCCGAAGTCCTTTCCTCTAGCTCATCTGGAGTGACTTCCCACTTCTTTAGGACAAGTCTGTGATACATGAGGGACACGTGCTTTCAGGCCCTTCAGGCCTAATAACATTAAATGTGAAGACCTTTGCGCAGACGGACAGACCTAGACAATTCTTTTCCTGAAGAGCAGCAGCCTGTCTGTGATAATGGCAGGAGCACACAGGGCTGACTCACAATGACCTTGCAGCCCAGACTCCCATTTAACCTTGCAATTCTTTTCTCCTTGAGTGGGGAGCCTTCAGATACACCGACAGCTTTGACATAGAGAGGGCCAGAACAGGGGCAATAAAAAGGCATTAAAGATCCAGGATTGGAGAAAGTGAACTCTTCTCACACTCCCTCTGGGTCTACGGGGCCTGTGAAAGTTGCTTCATGACGCCTTCACTCGAAAAAGGAAAAAGAAAAGGCTTGCAAGGGAGAACTTGGACAACCACGGAGCCCACGACACCCAGGCTCTTGGTGCAAGCCTTGGGTGCAAGGCCCTGGACCTGGTCGCAGGAACAAAACAGGACAGAATTAATGCCAAGACACGAAACTATCGACAAGAAAAATACACCGTGTTGGGGGGTGACGACGAAGGCCCAGTTAGAAAGAGGCAGCGGTGTATCTGGAGAAACAATCCATTAAGATGAAAACCACAGACTTCCCTGCTGGTCCAACGCTTAAGAATCCGCCTACCAACCCTGGGGACACGAGTTCAGTCCCTGGTCTGGGAAGATCCCACATGCTGTGAGCCCAGGAGCCACGAGAGAAGCCACCGCAGTGAGGAGCCCGTGAACTGCACCAAGAGCGTAGTCCCCGCTTGCTGCCACTAGAGCAAGCCTGCACGCAACACTGAAGACAGTGCAGCCAAACATAATGAACAAACAGAGCATGAATCTAAAAGCACGCGAACAGATCTTGCACTAAAGGTGCAGGTGTGACACAGCCCAGGAAACGATGCTCGGCATCATTCATTGTTAGGGAATCCGTTTTAAGTCCATCTATTATATGTCAAAATTGATGAGACCTTCTAGAATTCTCCCACAGGGCTTGGAGATCAAGATGGTACTGCCACTGTGGAAGAGTCTGGCACTTTCTTATCTAGTTCAGCTGATTTACCAAGTGGCCTGCAACCCCATGACTAGGTATGTGTCCAAGTGAAATGAAAACTTGGGTGGGCACAAAACTTGCTCCTGGTGGTCTACAGTGGCTTTATTCCTGACAACCCAAACCTCAGCAACCCAACAACCCAAATGCACCCCGCCTCGGGAAGGGGTAACAAACGTCCGATGGAAAGCGACAGATGCAGAGCTAAGAAAGCAGCGGGGTTCGCGTAACAGGACAACTCGGAGGGCCCCGCGTGCAGCGCATATGCTTTCATCTGGAGGACGTTCTGGAAGAAAAAGCGAAACGGTAGAGGCAGAAACAGGTGAGTGGTTCCCGGGTGGAGGTCTGGGGAGAAGCCGACCACAAAATGACATGTGGGAATCCTGGAGGGGGGTGCGGTGCTGACTGTGGTGGCGATTATGTGACTCCATGTGTTTGTCAAAAGCAGAACGTGCACAAAAATATAGAGTGAATTTTACGCTATGTGTACATCTACCTTAATTAAAAAACGGAAACATCTGGACGTCCCTGGTGGTCCAGTGGTTAAGAATCTGCCTTACACTGCGGGGGACTCGAGTTTGATCCTTGGTCAAGTGATGCAACCAAGATCTTGCGTGTGCAACCAAGAGTCGGCATGGCCAAATAAATAAATAATGAAAAAGTATGTATCCAGGGACTTCCCTGGTGCTCTAGGGAGTGACAGTTGCTTAGTCGTGTTTGACTATTTGTGACTCCATGGACCATGCAGTCCATGGACTTCTCCAGGCCAGAATACTGAAGTGGGGCCTTTCCCTCCTCCAGGGGATCTTCGCAACCCAGGGGTCGAATCCAGGTCTCCCACATTGCAGGTGGATTCTTTACCAGCTGAGCCACAAGGGAAGCCCAAGAATACTGGAGTGGGTAGCCTGTCCCTTCTCCGGGGGATCTTCCTAACCCAGCAATGGAAAAGGGGCCTCCTGCATTGCACGCAGATTCTTCACCAGCTGAGCTAGTCTAGTGGTAAAGAATCTTGCCTTGCAATGCAGGGGACATACATTCAGTCCCTAGCCAGGGAATGAAGATCCCACATGCTATGGGGCAGCTAAACCTACTCACTACAACTAGAGGATCCTCACATTGCAAGGAAAGATCCTGAGGAACTCAACTAAGACCTGATGCCAAATTAAAAAAAATATTTTAAAATACATACACACACACACACACATATCTAAAGAGACTGTATCATTACAGACCCAAAACAAGGGTCTGTTTAAGGGCAATGCTGTCCAATTCAGAAGCCGCCACTCACATCTGGCCGTCTACGTTTATCCTCTAATGAGGATGAAATGGAATGAAACCCTTCGCTGTGACAGGCGGTGTGAGCCACATTTAAGCGCTGGCTCTGCAGATCCACGTGGCTGACGGCTTCTGTGTGATCCATGCAGACGCACAAAGTGAGTCCTGGACTGTGCTGCTCTGGGGGTGGGGCTGGTGCTGGACTGACTCTGCCCTGTCCTCCCTTCATCCTCTGCAGTCAGGCAATCACGGCAACGTGCTGCTGGCACACAGCAGCTGGATGAGACCCCCGCCCCCCCGCCCCGGGGAGCACCGATGGGCCCACCTTCTTGCTAAAAGGACTCAAGGACTGCTGCTCTGAGGTGGGGCGGGGGTGGCTAAGGGCAAGGCAGCGGCAGGGAGGCCCCATCAGAAGATAGGGTCCCCCCCAGTCCTGGCTGAGTCTCCAGGCGGGCGAGTGGGGCTTAGACGCCTCGGAGTCTGACAGCGTCCAGCCCGCACTCGCAGCCTCTGGGGCCTGGGGCTCGCTGTGTGATCTGCGGAATGACCGGGGAGCCCGGCCACGCGCTGTGCTCTCCGCACCCCTTCCTCTTCCTGTCTGCTCAGTGTCACTTCCTTCTCGGACCCTCCCCACACCCCCCGTGCTGCTTCCTGTCTGTTCACCGCGTCCCTGGGGTGCTGGTGAACATCCCACGGCTATGGGCCTCTGACCACCACCCAGAGGGATGGCAGCTCTGTATCACTCCTGAGGACAGAGGCAGGCAGCATAATCCTCCACGAAACATTTCTCCACCCAACTGAGGCCCCCAAACCAGAGAGGGGGCCTCTGCGTCCTCAGCTCACTTACAGAAGCCTGGCTTGATTTTCTTTTACAGCCTCCTCTGGCCACCCTATAGTTTAGAACCTGTCCGTCCACGTTTCTGGAATGCCAATTCAGGAAAAGATAGGTCCGACTTCGACCCCGGAGAAAAGCTGTTCAAACAAAGCTGGGGTGAAAACTACTCTCGACAGAGCACATGGGTGTGGGCACTCGGGGAAAAAAAAACTCATCCATTGCTGTGTAACCTCGAAGGGCTCCAAAACGTAACAGCGAAACCATCAACGTGTACTATCTCACTGTGTCCGTGGGGCAGGAATTTAGGGGTGACCCAGTGGGGTGCTTTCAGCTTAGGGTCCCTCATGAGACGTAGTGGGGCTGTGTTTTCTGGAAGCTCACTGGAGCCCGAGGGATTTGCCACGTTGGGACATAGTGGCATGGGACTTCCCTGGTGGTCCAGTGGCTAAGACTCCGAGCTCCCAATGCAGGGGGTCCGGGTTCCATTCCTGGGCAGGGAACTAGATCCCACATGCCACAATTAAAGACCCTGCATGCTGCTGCAACTAAGACTTGGTGCAGCCAAATAAAAATAGAGTGAAAGTGAAAGTCGCTCAGTTGTGTCTGACTCTTTGCAACTGCATGGACTAAACAGTCCATCGAATTCTCCAGGCCAGAATACTGGAATGCGAAGCCGTTCCCTTCTCCAGGGGATCTTCTCAACCCAGGGATCAAACCCATATTGCAGGCAGATTTTTTTACCAGCTGAGCCACAAGGGAAGCCCTCCCCAAAATAGACAAATAAACTTAAGATTTGTTTTTAATTTATTAATTTTTAAGAAAAATTTCTTAATTTTAATTAAAATTAAATTTTTATTTAACTTTAAATTTCTTGATTTTTATAATGTCTTTATTGTGAAAATAGATAAATATTAAAAAAAACTAAGACAAAGCAGCATGCCAGTGCCAGGGGAAGGAGGAGCCAGCCCCGCCGTCAGCTAGTTCTGTGCCCCAGACCAGTTATTTGGCCTCTGGACCTCAGTTTCCTCTGCTGTGAAATGGGCTGAGGGCGGTTGTGGGGGGACACTGAGAGAGTCACACCTGTGACCTCAAGATATGCAGGGTGTTTTGTAAGAAAAGACTTGGAAGTGGGGAAAGCAAGGCTGTTAGCCCAAGGGCCAGCTCCGCAGAAGCCCCCAGAACCTGCTCAGCCAGCAGGCCTTGCAGAGAACAGGAAGAACACGATGCCTGTTCTCCCGGGAACAAAGGAAGCTCGGGGTCTTTACTGTGCAAACCCAGCAGAGCTTCGGGTGGTAAGGCTCCTGGTCGTGTCGGGGCCCCCAGGAGCGTGCGACCCGCCCTCCCGGCCCTGGGCCGCCACCTTTCCTGTTCTCTCGCCTCTGCTCTGGTGCGCTGTGACTCTGCACCTTTGTCCGTCTGTCCCTCCAACCTGGGGTGGCGGTTTGCCTGTGGCCTCACTTCTCTGATGTATCTGAGAAGAGTTTTCATGCTTCGGCTCCTTTAGCTTTTTTCTTCCGTGGTTGGGAGTAACGTGTTACGCTGTTGTTAATGTTGTTCAGTTGTTCAGTCACGTCTGATTCTTTGCGACCCCGTGGACTGCAGCACACCAGGCCTCCCTGCCATCACCAACTCCTGGAGCTTGCTCAAACTCATGTTCACTGAGTCAGTGATGCCATCCAACCATCTCATCCTCTGTCGTCCTCTTCTCCTCCTGCCTTCAATTTTTCCCAGCATCAGGGTCTGTTCCAATGAGTCAGTTCTTTGCATCAGGTGGCCAAAGTATTGGAGCTTCAGCTTCAGCATCAGTCCTTCCAAGGAATATTCAGGACTGATTTCCTTTAGGATTGGCCAAGGGACTCTCAAGAGTCTTCTCCAGCACCACAGTAGGAGAGCATCAATTCTTCGACGCTAAACCTTTTTTATGAGTCAGCTCTCACATCCATATATATATGACTGCTGGAAAAACAGTAGCTTTGACTATTTAGTCCTCTGTGTCATAGTCCAACATAAGCTCATGCAACTCGCTCAAGAGCTCGGGGCCTGCTCTTCTGCAGAGACGTCCGCTGGGCCTGCGAGCCCCCTCTGTACGTGGTGGACAGGTCACATCAGATCTTTGGGCCCTCCGAGCGCCCAGTCGATGGTATCATCCTGGTGCAATGTCCCCACGGCAGACAGACCCGCCAGGGACTGCCGAGCCTCTGGTACCATCCTAAGGATAGAGCCGGCCGTTTTAAGGATGCTCCACCCAGAGCATACACAGAAACCCCCGACGGAAGACTTAGAGCCCCTCTGTAACTTATAGCTTTTGAGCACCGACAACATGACTCAGCCAAAGCGCGACACGCTGTCTGTGTAAAACACACCACACCTGATTTCAAAGGCCTGTTTTTTTTTTTTTTTTTTTTTTAAAGCAAAGTGTTAGTATTTTGTATATCTACATCAGGGCTTTTCTTGTGGCCCCGTGGTAAGGATTCTGCCAGCCAAGCAGGAGATGCAGGTTCAATTCCTGGGTCAGGAAGATCCCCTTGAGAAGGAAATTGCCACCCATTCCGGTATTCTTTTCTGGGAAATCCCGTGGGCAGAGGAGCCTGGCAGGGGGGCTACAGTTCATGGGGTCGCAAAGCGTCAGACTTTGTGACTGAGCACACATACATAAAACTGTATTGATTATAGAAAGAGAAAAAAAAAAAGAACCAAAATAGTATTATTAGTATTTCATATATTTATATTGGTTATAGTTTGAGATGGTAATATGTTGGACACATTGGGCTAAATGAAATGCACTGCCCAAATTAATTTCACTTATTTCTTTTTACCATTTTAATGCAATTACTGGAAAGGTAAAAATTTTAATTTTTAAAATTCACATTTGTGGCTCGTATCATATTCCTGTGGGATGGGGCTGTTAGAGACCAATGTAACCTTTTTGTCCCAATAGATGTTTCTGTCTTAATTATGACAATGCTCTGGGTTTGTGGCCCAGTTGGTAAAGAATCCGCCCGCAATGTAGGAGACCTGGGTTCGATCCCTGGGTTGGGAAGATCCCCTGGAGAAGGGAAAGGCTATCCGCTCCAGTATTCTGACCTGGAGAATCCCATGGACTGTTTAGTCCATGCGTCGGAAAGAGTTGGACACGCCTGAGCGAGTTTCACTTCACACTTTACTTCTGGGTTTGTGTTAGCAGAGTGTGCTATCAACCTGGTGTCTCTGTATCAAGTATATTCCCTCCTCTTTGTTTATCAGACCGCCGTGTGGGAGTTTTCAAGTTCAGAGGGTCAGCTGAGGGGGATGGAGAGGTTGAAAAGGGCACACCCATGATCTGGTGAACTTGCTGCTTCCTCCACTGGGCGCTTTGGTTTTCAGCCATGGAAACCGACTCTGGCCAACTTCAACAGAAAGGGTATGTCGAAAGGGTATGTCCTGGCACGATGCCAGGTTGATCACAGAACTAGAGAGAGCCAAGATCCGGGTTTCAGAAAGGGCTGGAGGCAGAGGGGCCCTGGGGAGTTAGCTGCAAAAACCCCAAGGCCGGTGTCCGAGGACTGTCCACGCTGGGATTAACCGGCTCCAACCTTTCCCGGTTCCTGCATCATTCCGAAGGAGGCTGGAATCCCCAGGAGAAAGCCACCGAAGGGCTTCGCGGAGGCTCTGTGTCCAGGCCTGGGCCCAAGGCGGGGCCGAGCCTGGAAGGCAGGCATGCAGCCCACCCCGTGGGGCTGGCCCGTCCAGGGAGCGAGTCTGGTTCCTGTTAGGGCGGGGGCGGGGCCGCCGGGCAGACAAACAATAGCTGGTCCACCTCCTCATTCCAAGTGGATGTCGTCAGGGACTCAGCCGACTTGGCCTGTTCTCGAGGACTCTTAGGCCCCTCTTTTAAAACTTTCAATTATTGGAATGTTGAACACACAGACAAAAGAGGACAGAATAATAATACAAACCTCCACGCACCCCAAACCCAGCTGCAGCCCGGATCTGTGTAAACTCAGCCTCGTTTCATCCACAAGCTGCCCAAATCCTCTATTATTTTGAAGCCGGTCTTAGGCATTATATCATTTCCTATAATTCAGTGTGTATCCCTGAAAGATAAAGAGTTGGTTTCAAAAATATCACTAAAGGACTTCCCTGGTGGTCCAGTGGCTAAGACTGCACGCTCCCAACACAGGGGGCCCTGGGCAGGGAGCTAGAGGCCACACGCTGTAATTAAGTGTTCCAACACAATTAAAGGGCCCCGCATGCAGCAATGAAGGGCGAAGATCTTGAGGGCCCCAACTAAGACCTAGCATAGCAAATAAATAAACAAAAACAAAATAAACAACAACACAGGGATAGACAAAAGATTAAGAAATGAAGTAACACTGTCACCCCAAAAAGAAGCCTAATTCTGGCTTAACAGCATACGATTCCCAGCCAGTGTTCTCTCCTACTTTTTACTTTCATTTTTAAGTAAACTTATGGAAGGATAATTTACTTCAACTAAGGTGTAATTTATTGTCGTTGCTGTTTTAGTTGTTAAGTCGTGTCAGACTCTTTTGAGACCCCATGGACTGTAGCCCACCAGGCTCCTCTGTCCATGGGACTGATTTTCCAGGCAAGAATACTGAAGTGGGTTGCCATTTCCTCCTGCAGGGGGTCTTCCCAACACAGGGATTGAACCCGAGTCTCTTCCGTCTCCTGCACTGTCAGGTGGATCCTTTACCACTGAGCCCCTGGGAAGCCCACTGAATAAATAAACCACTGTAAAAAATAATCAGTCCACTGTCTGATAGACATATGGGTTGTTTCCAGGTGGGGTTTTATGAATGCCTGTTATAAACATTCATGCACAACTTGTTGGCACGTGCTTTCGTTTCTCTCCTAGGGATGGAACTGCTGGGTTACACACTGCATCTATATTTAGAGAAATTACCAGACCGTTTTCCCAAGTGACTGCCGAATTGGATGTTCCCAACGAGTGAGGATTCTCTTCATCTCTTTTAGTCTATGTTTTCCCCCACCCCCTTTTCTCCCCCTTGCGATTTATTTTTAAAAACTGGGTCATTTGTTCATTAAAGTTTCCCAGAGTCTGTTTCCCACTTTTACTGACTGTATCTCATGGAGTCTAAATTCATCTGAACTAAAAAAAAAAAAAAAGTGGGAAAACTGGAAAACAGGGAAACAGTCATGGAAAAAAACAAGATCAAGCCACAGATACAGTCAGTGCACAAAAGTACAAACCTTAAAGTCTAAGGCAGTCGGTAAAGATAAATGCTGGTTTTAATTCTGAGCTTCCTATCAGCCCCAGAAAAGAAGGAAACAGGTTTGGTTACAAGAGTCACTGTTTAGAAGATAAAAATGAACTGATTCCTCCCAGGAAACTGGCCTTTTCCTGCCAGAGACTAAAGAGAATTTCCACCATCATCCCCTCTTCCTTTTTAGGAACGTGGTAGGAATTCGTGGGGCAGCACCCCCACTGGTGACCTGGACAGTACACAACCATCTTTTCTGGGGAACGTCAGTGATTAAAAAAAAAAAAAAGGCAGTAGGTGGAAAGAAAATTGGAGGTCCTGTGTGCCACAACCACGGCCCGGCTCAGCCAGATAAATTAAAAAAATACATAAATATCTTTTTTTAAAGGTAGTAAGTAAGGTTGTTTGGGATCTGATGAGATAATATGGAAAGTCAGACTAGGTCAAAAAAGGCAACTTTCAACAACAACATTCAGGTCCTCCTTTGAGTGTTTATCATCCAATTTCAATGTTGTGTAGCTGGGAAGAGAAAGAAACACTGTAATAAAGAGAATTTCTAACAAAGCGGTTAGAACATCAGTTGCCCTTTCAGGTGTCTACCAAAATTCCCCCCCAAATAACAAAAATATGCAAACAAAACAGAAACAACAAAAAACCCTACTGTCAGGTCATCCTTTGTTTTTTAGTTGACATAGGGTTGATTTTCAGTGGGCTTCCCTGATGGCTCAGTGGCTAAAGAATCCGCCTGCAATGCAAGAGACCCCAGTTCGGTTCCTGGGTCGGGACGATCCCCTGGAGAAGGGACAGGCTACCCACTCCAGTATTCTTGGGCTTCCCTTGGGGCTCAGATGGTAAAGAATCTGCCTGCAGTGTGGGAGACCTGGGTTCGATCCCTGGGTTGGGAAGACGCCCTAGGATTCTGGCATAGTGTTAGTCTCAGGCACGTGGCCCAGGGACCCACTGTTTCTCCTCACGAGACTATCGTACTTGCTGAGCGTAGCTGGCCCTTGCTCTTTATCTGTTTTATAGACAGCAGTGTGTCTGCTGACCCCAGGGTCCTCACTTGTCCCTCCCCGTCCCCTGCTTTCCCTGTCTCTGGGAGTCTGTTTCTGTTCTGAAGTCAAGTTGGCGAGCAACCTCTCCACGCAGCCCACGGGCAGCTTCTTCCGTGCCCACACTCTTACCCTCGAGTGACAAGTGGGCTGGTGTCTGGGAGGCGCGGGCACACGGACCCGAGGATGAGGCAGTGGCACCTTCCTGAGGAGGCCGACTCCCCACGCCTGGACCCCCTCTCCCCGCAGGCCACGTTCCCAGCTGAGCTCGGAGGCCCCCGGGGAGCCCTCCCCGGCCGGGGAGAGGCCTGGCTCTGACCCTGGCTTACTGCAAACCTGGCTTAAACGCCCATCCTTCAGATCCTGTTTTCCGTCCAAGCGTCATCTGTACGTCAGGGTCCACCTCAGCACCTTTCTCCCCGCCACCCACCCCGCCACCCCACTGCGCACAGCACGTCTCGGACGGCTCCGTGGTGTCAAAGGGCGCTGGGCGGGGGCGACTTTTTAATATTCATTTACTCGCTCGGCTGTGTCGGGCCCTAGTTCTGTCGTGTGGGATCTTCACTGCGGGCTTCTCTCTAGTTGCAGCTGGTGGGTTTAGTTTCCTCAGGGTAGGGGGGATCCTAGTTTCCCAACCAGGGGCTGAACGCTTGCATTGGCAGGCGGAATCCTTACCACGGAGCCGGCAGGGAAGCCCCTAAAAGGAAAACTTCCCCCACACCCAGAGGGAAGCCTGTATCGGAGAGAAGGCGAGGGACTTGAGAAGCCCTGGCGTCCAGCCCGGCTCGCGGCCGCGTCCAAGGGGCGCGGCTGCACCGAACACGCGGGGCTGCCGGAGAGCAGGGGGACCGGCCTCCCGCTTGGAGGGACCGTGCGGACTCGCCGCCTTCGACGGTGGCGTGGGGCGAACAACGGGGATCGCGCAGGGCACACAGCCCCCGGCCGCCCGAGCCCGAGCCATCACCCGCCCCTGCTCGGCTGAACCGACTCCTGCATCCAGGGGAAGACCACGTGGGCTAAGAGTCTTATGAAGTTTCAGTTAATCAAGAGATTAAATCTTCAAGGCACGATATTGCCTCCCTCTTTTTATGTTTATTGTCGTCATAAAGAACAAGCAGCGGGCTGCTGAAATTCAGGTGAGTCAGCACAGTGACTGACTGGCTTTGAAAATCCTCCCTGGCAAGGGTTTCCCTACCCAGCTAAGAGCAAGAGACGCAGGAGTGTGCTTGTGCATGCTCAGTCGTTCAGTCGGGCCTGACTCTTTGGGACCCCGTGACCCCACCGGGCTCCTCTGGATTTCCCAGGCGAGAGTACTGGAGTGAGTTACCATTCCCTTCTCCAGGCGAGGTCTTCCCTGGTGGCTAATCTGGTAAAGAATCCGCCTGCAATGTGGGAGACCTGGGTTCGATCCCTGGGTGGGGAAGATCCCCTGGAGAAGGGAAAGGCTACCCGCTCCAGTATTCTGGCCTGGAGAAGTCCATGGGCTGTATAGCCCATGGGGGTCTCAAAGAGTCAGACACGACTGAGGGACTTTCACTTTTCTTTCTCCAGGGGATCTTCCCGACCCAGGGATTAGATCCCCATCTCCTGCACTGGCAGGCGGATTCTTTACCACTGAGCCATCAGGGAAGCCCAGTAAATGCAGGCACCGAAGGATACACAGAATAAACCAGGATGCGATGATAATTTAACGCCCGAGAAGAGCACCAAGTAAATACAAGATGAAAAGAAAGACAAGACCGAGATTCCTAAACCCCTCTCAAAAGGAAGAACTGAAAACCCTGCTTCCTGTTCAGATGGAGCCGTGTTTGACTGTGAATGCAGAAAGGAAAACAGAACTTGTGTAAAACTGCCGAGTGTGACGTGGTGGGAAGAGGTACTGCCGGCTGCCCCTCAGACGCAGGATTGGGGTAGCCCGGAAGGACGGGCACGATCCTCCCTTCTTAGCTGCCAGAAAGGAAGCAGGAGGGGCATCGCGTCCTAAGGGAGACCACGGCCAGAGGACCCGGCTTCAGGTCCCCACTCTGGCGACAGCTGTCTCCAGCAGTGCCCGCAGGGGCGTGGCGCTCAGCCTGGAGTTACAAGGGCAGAACCACCAGCGGCCTCCCTTCAGTCCATTCTGCCCTTCTCCCTAAGTAACACAGCTCTGCTTTTTCCTGGGTGGTACTGATGAGCCCAGCTAAACCCACATTTCCCATCCTTTCTTGGAGCCAAGTGCAGCCGTAAGACATAACGAGGGTTAACGTGTTGGATGAAGTCACAGGATAACCAACTCACTACCGACACTTTCTCAATCTCAGCCCTGAACACCCTGCGTCCCGGGTGACTGACTCCTCAGCCCTGCACAAACTGGACGGCTGGCCATCCCCGCAGACGGCTCGGAGAAAGGGGAGATGCAGCTCCCATCTGCCTGTGGCCCCCTCACTGCACAGCATGCAGCCTCCATCCTGGAGGGGATGATGAGTGAAGACAACAGCCGCTGAGTTACATTAACAGAAAGAACTTGATGGGAAGGACCAAGAACTAGGCACAAAGCGGTTTTTTAGGTGTACCTGAGTGGGTCCAGAGGGAGCCCCAGCTCTTGGAGGGCGTGACTGAACGAGACAGATCATTTGGCGGTGGTGCTGGGGGCAAGGGACTGGGATTATGGAAACGCAAGGGGGCTGGCTGTGCCGGGGGTCCCCAGGGGCCGTATCAGTTGTCTCTGTGGGCGTCAGAAGAGCGGCAGACAAGAAGCTGCTGCTGCCCGAATGAACCGAGGATGCGGTGGCAGGGAGGCGCTGCTACAACAGAGTTTATGGGACTAAGGAGCAGGTGTAGACCCAAAGTGGGGGTGCAGAGGGGCCCCTGCTTCTCTTCCTCTTCCAGCCTTGGTCTAGCGCCACCTACTGGAGGATCCTGCCGGGGAGGCAGTGGGCTGGGGAGCGCAGAAGCGGGGAGCGCAGGTTCCAGGCCCAGATCCACAAGGCCGGTCCGGGATGATGACTGAATGACTGGCACTCTTGCCCTGGTCACATCACTTTCTCTTTCTCCCGGAGAAAACCATGGCACCGACTTCTATGTAGTTTTCCTGCTTTTCCATAGAGTTTTATCACATACCCATGCAACCCTGAATAACGTGACTTGATTTTTTTTCTTTACTTTTTAACATTTTATGATTTGAACTGTACTGCACATGGGCTTCCCAGGTGGCTCCATGGTAATGAGCCCGCCTGCCAATGCAGGAGACTTGAAGAGACGCAGGTTCGATCTCTGGGTCCAGAAGATCCCCTAGAGGAGGAAATGGCAACCCACTCCAGTATTCTCACCTGGGAAATCTCATGGACAGAGGAGCCTGGGGGCTACAGTCTGTGGGGTCACAAAGAGTCAGACACGACGGAGCGACTGAGCAAACACTGTGCAAGATCTGTCGTGTCTGGCTTTTTACAGTCAAACTGGACTTCCATATTTTGCAGGTGGGGGTAGTTCATTCATTGCCAATGATTTACGGGACTTTATTATATGAATGTTCCACACTTTTGGGATTCCCTGATAGCTCAGTTGGTAAAGAATCTGCCTGCAATGCAGGAGACACCAGTTCGATCCCTGGGTTGAGAAGATCTGCTGGACAAGGAATAGGCTGCCCGCTCCAGTATTCTTGGGCTTCCTTCTGGCTCAGCTGGTAAAGAATTCTCCTGTAATGCAGGAGACCTGGGCTCAACCCCTGGGTTGGGAAGATCCCCTGGAGGAGGGAAAGGCTACCCACTCCAGTATTCTGGCCTGGAGAATTCCATGGACTGTATGGTCCACGGGGTCGCAAAGAGCTGGACACGACTGAGCGACTTTCACTCACTCACACTTGACTCACACAGCTGCCGATGGGACAGTCTGAGCGGCAACTCTGAGGACAGTTCCTGCTCGTGTTTCCTGGGGCACGGAGCACACTTCTCTCCAGGCAGTTCTCAAAGTGTGGCCCCCCAGCAGCAGTCTTAGCGCTTCCTGGGAGGGAGGCTGTTAGGGATGCAGACTCTGGGGTCCCATCCCACACCCACTGACTCAGATTCTGGAGGTGGGGCCCTGGCGCCCTCCGGGGGAGTCTGATGTCTGCTCGAGTCTGGGAACCGCTTCTCGAGGTTGCACATCCAGAAGTAGATTTGTGAGTCACCGAATGTGCAAAGGGCAAGTTTTCCAGATCACGGCACACAGCCTTCCCAAGTCGCCGTGCCCACCTGTGCTGGCAGCTGTGCGGTCTCAGAGCCCTCGTGGCTCGGGGTCGTTTCCACCACTCGCTTCCATCAGACTTCAAGGTCTTTGCCAGGCTGGAAGGTAAACAAATGTCTCAGGATTCTAGTGGGCACTCAGGTAACTCCCAGTGAGGTGGAACACCTTTCTCACACGTTTATGGTCCTCTGGATTCACCTTTTTGTGACGTGCTGGTTTCAGTCTTTTGCCCTTTTTTTTTTTTCTCCTATTGGGCTGTCTGTTTTTCCATATCAGTTTGAAGTTCTTTAAATATTTTGAAAACTGGTTTTTCTTGGCTATATTTGGTCCAGGTATCTTCCATTGCTCTGAGACTGGCCTTCTCACCTCCATTTTCTCTTTGCAATCGTCCTTTGATGAACAACTTCTTCATTTTAATTTATCACTGTTTTTATTTATGATAAATGCTTTTAATGAGATAACTCATTAGTGATGAGGGCATTTTTGCAGAAACTAACACATGTGGCTGGTGGACTTTATTTTGGCTGGCCCCAAATTAATTCTGTTATTTCACTAACACTTTGGGGGTTATTACATTCAGTAGTTAAACCTGACACACCCATAAAGTCTTCTAGTTTTACTGAGATGTTGTCTTCAATCCACTCTTCTGTAAAAGCAGTAGCATTCTCCAGCACCATGAGTTTCATTTTCACTTTTCATATCAGAATCAGTCACTAAGGTTTTTGTCTTTCTGTTGATCTAATATTCACATCTGAATCAGAACCATATTCAGAGTAACTGTCATCTTAGTATATATTTTGCTTGGACAATCAGGAAAAAAGTATCTGCATAAATTTCACCTAAAAATTCTCCCTCGCTCAAAATTTTTCAATGCGTCATTTTTGAAAAATTTACATTTGTAACATATGCAAGGTTGGAACAAAAACCTAATGAAGCAAAATGTGAATGATAGCGATAATCATAAGCTGTATTCTGAATCCTTGATCAATTTTAAGCTCTAACAACTTTGCATGATGGTGAAGTGTGTATGCGTTCGGTTGCTCGGTTGTGTCCAACCCCTTTTGACCTCATGAACTGTAGCCCACCAGGCTCCTCTGTCCATGGAATTCTTCAGGCAAGAATACTGAAGTTGGTTGCCATTTCCTTCTCCAGGGGATCTTCCTGACCCAGGGATTGAAGCCAGGTCTCCTGCATATTGGCAGGCAGATTCTTCACCGCTGAGTCACTAGGCAAGCCGGATGTTAATTGTAACACTCTCTAAAAATGTATTAATATGTCTCTGTTCAATAACTTGTTATGAATCATTCCCTGTCCCAAAGTCATGCAGATGGTCTCCCAAATGTCTTTTTCAAACTCTGTAGCTTTGCCTTTTACATTTAATTCTTAAATCTATCTAGAGCTGACTTTTGTGTGTAATGTGAGGCAGGGGTTCCATTTCTTTTATTCCCATGTGAATACCTAACTTTCTTAGCACCACTGATTGAAAACCATGTCTCTGCACTGCCACCTATGTCATCAGTTACTTGTTCCAGTCCGTCCTAAAGGAAATCAACCCTGAATACTCACTGGAAGGAAGGACTGGTGCTGAAGCTGAAGCTCCAATACTTTGGCCACTTGATGTGAAGAGCTGACTCACTGGAAAAGGTCCTGATGCTGGGAGAGATTGAGGGCAGGAGGAGAGAGGGATGACAGAAGACGAGACGGTTGGATGGCACTGACTATCACTGGACATGAATCTGAGCAAACTCTGGGAGATGGTGGAGGACAGAGGAGCCCGGTGAACTGCAGTCCATGGGGCTGAAAAGAGTCGGACACGACTGGACAACAATGCACGCGGTCTGTGTCTGAGTGCTCTGTCGTTCCACTGGTGTGTCTGCGGGTACTGGGATGGGCACCTTAGTGTACGAGATGCCAGACCACCTCTTCTGTGGCCACTCAGGGTGGAAAGATCCTCCCTCTCGGAGGAGCCCGATGCCCTCGAGCTGAGCCAATCCTTTGCCCGGATCTCGTTGCAATCAGATGAGGTAATGGGGGTCATCTGTAAGTGTGCTTTTAGCTTACGCGTTTCTCTGCATCTTTCAGGCCCTCTCCCCACACAGCGTCCCCACCTGCTGGCACTCCACCCTTCCTCCACGGCCCCTACAGGGCCACCACCGCCGGTCACCCGTGGCTAGAAGTGGCCCCTTCCCCCTCAGACACTCCTGCAGTGGGATGTCTGCGTGGGCTTGTTAGGGCCACGGTCACAAAGCACCACCAACGTAGCAACTTCAACAGAAATCTTTTCCTGCACACCCTGGGGTCTGAGATCAAGCAGTCAGCAGGGCCGCACTCCTCCGAAGGCTCCGGGGAAGGTCTGTCTGTCCTAAACCCTGCCCCCTAGCCCCCACAACTGGTAGGTAGTTCCTGGGCTCCTGGCAGCGTGTCTCCAATCTTCCCACGGCACCCTCCCTATGTGCCTGTCTCCAGCTTCCCCTTTATAAGGGCACTGATCACAATGGGCTTGAGTCCCACCCGACTCTAATATGGGGCTTCCCTGGTGGGTCTGATGGTAAAGAATCTGCCTGCGGTGCAGGAGACCCAGGTTCAATCCCTGGGTGGGGAAGATCCTCTGGAAAAGGAAATGGCAACCCACTCCAGTATTCCGGCCTGGAGAATTCCAAGGACAGAGGAGCCTGGCGGGCTACAATCCATGGAGTTGCAGAGAGCCGGACACGACTGAGCGACTAACACTCACATCTACGATGACTCGATTTCCAAAGAAGGTCCCACTTCAAGTTACAAGGGGTAGGGTTGCAGCTGCTGGAGTCCTCAGGGACACAACTCAGTTTATAGCAACAACCGTGTAACTGACCTTCTGAAACTGGGGCACTCGGGACAGTGAACCCGGGCACTCGTGGTCTCTGCCCCAGGATCGCAGGCGGGATGGTGAGTGCTGGGGACGGCCTCGGAGGCCTGGGCCACCCCATGAGCAGGGAAGCAGGGGGTCCGTCAGGCAAACCTTCAGCATCGGTGCCGGCTCAGACAGGAGGCTCTGACTGCAATAGAAAACACAGCTCCAGCATGGAGGAGGGTTCCGACCTTACCGACGAGAACTCAGGAGGAAGGGCGGCCCTGGGGTGACTGGTGGACTCGGGGATGCCAGCTGGGCTCAGCTTCTCCCAGCGCTGGCCTCCTTTGTCTTTGACGGATCGACTCTCCTGATTTCGAGGTAGCTGCAGGCCTACCTGAGGCCCCCGTGCGCCCCATCTTCCCAAACCAGGATGTGGAGCCCGTTTTTGCTTCCCGCATCTCTTTTCTAGGAGCACACGTTTCTCAGGACCTCTTTACCCCAGCCCACCCCGCCTTGTGTCTTACTGGCCAAAAGGACACCAGGCACTTCTGTCTAAACCACTTCCCAGCGAAGGCTCTGTGACCCCTGGGCTCTTCTCAGCCCAGCTGTGAGTCTCGCTCAGCAGGCTGGGCCCTGGCTCTCCTAAAGTCGATAGAAAGATGATTTCAGGACAGAAATCTGGGTTCCCATGGAAGGAAAGAGGAGTGGGGAGGGGGCTGCCAGGTAGGCCCCGTGAACGCGTGCGCTGCAGGAGAGAGGACAGTGTCCTGGAGACCACCATCATCTCAGAGAGGGATCGTCACAGCTGGGCGTGCGAGTGGGAACCAGGAAACACGGCCCATCGCTCTTTCTAGTATGTTTGTTAAATGTAACGTTTTGAGAAGCTGGCAGGGTAGCCACGTCTCCTAAGGTGGAAAATGTGATAATTGAGGTCAGATAGTTCCCTTTATTGTCCTGGCTTGAAACCATTTCACACCGATTTGCTCCGCAATGCAGCACTGCCACAGAGTACCAATGAGGAAAAGGCAATCAGCAACAATGATTGTTACCAAGCAACCAGCAGCCACAGCAAGAATTAAATAAAAGGACTGTAAATGGACCACGAAAGTCAATCATCAGAAAAAGGCCCCATATGGGAGAAGAAGAATAGGGGAGAGTTACCCAGTTTCTGTTAAATTTCACTGAAGAAATGACATGCCACGGTGCAACTATGCAACGTCTGTTCACTTGATGTAGAAAATTAGGAAGATACGTATCAAAAAGAAAACTAATCACACGCATGACTTCACCACTGATGACTTTTAAGAGCTGGGTACATTTTCTGCAGAATACGCACAAGCCTGATCCCCTATCTTGCTTTATCCACTTCACCTTATGGGGTGTTTCCCAGTGTTGTTAGAAATCCTTAGTGGATGTCACTTTAAGTAACTGCACAGCACAGGCATTGATCAATTACTCTGCAAAACAGAATAAACCAGCGCTTCCGAGGGACGGTCACAGGAGGGGAACGGGGGCAAGCTGGGAACCTAAGCACCAGGCCTTCCTCACTGTTAGTTCTCATGGTGAATTCCGACGTTAGCTCAAAGGTGTGGCTTCCTGCTAATCTCCAGTCTGGGAAAAATAAAAGCCTGTGCTGGGATGGGGTGGGAGGAAGGTCTCTGGATTTTCGGGGTGGGCCCCTGTGTGTTGCTTTGTGCTGCAAACCATAAAGCAAAACACAAAACTGTGGAATCATTTGAAGCATTCTTTTTTTTGTTTTTAAGATTGGCCATCAAAGACACTAGTGCTTCCTGGAATCACCGTGACTGGGCTTCAGCCGCAGCTACATTCTCCCAGCTTCTCCAGTGTGATGGCTCCTTTGGAACCTCGAGAGCTATCATTATAATCATCTCTCCTAGGACAGTGCTATTATTATTTTTTTAATTAAAAAAATAAACAACCACCACCACCCTCACCATAGTGAAGCTCCAGAAGTACTTTTTAACTGCCATGCTGGCAACTTCCCCTGCAATGTGATAACGGCACGTGCCAGGCCAGACCACCTGAGAGGGCATGAATGCCAGTCGTTTAGCCTGGTTACGCCCTGCGGAAAAGGTGGGCTTCGCCGAGCGTAAGTCAGGAGCCAGGATTTAACTCTCATGTTTCTCTTGGCGAGAAGAGCGTCTGCTCTCTTGGGTGGAAGCCCTGCATTGATGGTATCATGTGAGACCCTGTTCCCTGGTCTCCTGGGCAGCAGCATGTGAACCCCTTTGCCCCCACTGCCCCGAAGTGGGTTATCTTAAATTATTCAAGTGACCAAGTTCAGGAGAAGGAGCGTGGAACTCGGGAGCAAGGTGGCCCTGGGCTTCGATCCTACATCTGTGCTAAGTGGCCTGTTTCTGTGACTGGACCAGGGCCCCGACTGGACCAGGGCCCCTGCTTGGCCTGTGGCAGCCTTGCTGTTTTCAGCTGTAAAACAGGAAAATGACACCTGCTCGACGGGACCCAGGTCTTAGCAGGGGCTTAGGACAGAAGGAGGACGGCCTGTGCTCAGAGCCCAAGGTTGCGTTCAAGGTGGGGCCTAACGCAGAGCGAGGCTGCGGCCCAGGCAGGCCAGGATCTGTGCAGGCGGCCAGGCCAAGGAGGAGGCCCTTTCTGCGAACTGCTGTCTCTTCATTCATCTGATTTTCCAGGCTAACGCTCTGCACTGCTTTTGGACGGACTTCTGCCCTCAAATCTAAACGGATGACACGCCGATGCCCTCTGAGCCAGCTTCTTTTTTTTCTTTTGAATTAAATTTTAATGAAGAACGTGCCTGTGCTCAGAGGCATAAACATCCAGGACTGCTGCTCCTCCTGCCTGAAAAAGCGCCCCAGTGTCTGGATGAAAAGGCCGTTTCTCTCTGTAACAGGACAGTCTGGACATGGCAGAGACAACAGGCCTGGTTCTGGGAGGACTGAGCGCCGGCTGGGGTTCTGGGCTGGGCCAAGGCCTCTGTTTACAGAGAGAAGCCAAACTTCCTGCTTACAGAGGAGTGAGGAAGGCCTGTCCTTCCTCATTCACCAGGGTTCATTCTCACTGCTGGTCAGGCAGGCTGCAACAGCAGGAGAAAGCAGGCAAAGGCGTTGAGATTCAAGGTGACGTCAGAGAACGAAAGGAGATGGGATCTCGGTTTCTCTCTCCCACCCTCCAAGTGTGTGTTTACTTAAAACAAACAAACACATCATTTAATTGGGTCGTGTTGGTTTTTAAAATAACACAAGGTGGTGGTGGGGGGGGTGCGTGCACACAGGCCAAGATCCCTTGCTGGCGCTCCTGCTGCGGCCTTCTGGGGTCGCAACAGGGCGCGGTCCGGACCCCTCTCCGGCACTCTTGTTCCCGTCGGTAAGTCTGGAGGCCCAGGCAGGCAACTCGTGTTACACTGGTGAGCGGGGCTGGGAGACTTGGCTTAGCTCTTCCTCTCACTCTCTAGAAAATTCCTTCTGCTTAGAAAAGAGGTTTTGTTTGACTCCTTTTCTGGCCTCGGAGGCACTAAACGGAGAAATAGGGACCCGCCCCAAGGTTTCAACAGACCATTGCGCAGGCTCCAGGGCCCGGGCCTTTGTTCGCTGGGCTGTGGCTGGGGGCGCTGCGTGCGCACCGCGTGGGCCCAGGAGCAGCATCCGGGCCTCGGCAAGTGCTGGGGCCAGCAGACCCGGTTTCTCCTGTGAAAGTCGCATCTATGCGACCCCATGGACTGTAGCCCCCAGCTTCCTCTGTCCATGGATTCTCCAGGCAGGAATACTGGAGTGGGTTGCCATGCCCTCCTCCAGGGGATCTTCCTAGCCCAGGGATCGAACCCAGGTCTCCTGCATTGTGGGCAGATTCGTTACCAACTGAGCCTCCAGGAAGCCCTTCTCCTGTGAAACCCAGCAGAAAACAGGAGGAGGGGCAGAGAGGGGCCGCGTCGAGGCCTGGGGACAGGGACGTGATGCTCCGCCAGGCTGTGGGCAGGCTGAGCGGGGCCTCCGTGACCACACGAGCGAGGTGGGCTTGCGACGTGCGAGGAGGGGACCAGGCGTGGTGGGGGGAGGGGGCCGTTAAATAGGAAGGAGAGCAACCCGGCCAGCCAGGGCCTGGAAACCACGGCCCTCCTGGAGCCCACAGTGCTGGGCGCTTCCTGGGGCTGCGTTTGTTCCTGGGGTGAACAGGAAGGCGGCTGTCCTGGGAGGTGTCCCCGCCCCGGGCCCTTTGCCTTCATTCGTCTGACTACTGCCGAGCCCCGTCATCACCGGAGCATCCTTGGGAACTCAGGCCGGTGCCCGGCGCTGTGTCTGCAGGCGAAGCGCCGACACGGTCCACGGCGGCCCCATGGTACCACGGCAGTGTTTCATGGCAAGTTCTCCGAGGCGCCAACCCCATCCGTGAGGACCCTCGTGACCTGGCTGATTGGTGTTTCAGCGAAAGAACCTGGGCGGCGGGGGCATGCACGTTCAGTCCAACAGCAGGGAGTAAGGCTCCCCGGGCGTGAGTCCTGGCTTGTTCTTTATTAGCTACATGGCTTCATGCGAGTGATGTGACCTTTCTCTACTTCAGCATCATCTGTAAACTGGGGGTTTGTGATGGCTGAACCGTGTCCCCTGTGAACTCACAGGTGGACGCCCTCACCCCAGTGCCTCCCAGCATGACCCTCTCTGCAGACGTGGCCTCTGCAGAGGTTAGGAAGGCAAAGCGAGGTCACCAGGTTAGCCTCGAGACTGGCGCCCTTGGAAGAGGCGGTCAGGACACAGACATGCCCGGAGGGAGGAGCGCGTGAGGACAGGAAGACCTCCCCTCCCCCCGCCAGCGGAGAGGCCTCGGAGGAAACAAACGCCCATCGCAGATTTGCAGGAGGCCCAAGTGGTCAAGAACCCGGCTGCCCACGCAACGGATGCAAGAGAAGACGGTTTGATCCTGGGGTCGGGAAGATCCCCCTGGAGAAGGAAATGAAAACCTACTATAGTATTCTTGCCTGGAAAATTCCATGGACAGAGCTGCCCGGTGGGCTACAGTTCATGGGGTCCCAAAGAGGACACAACCGAGTACGCACACTCCACACCAAACTGTGAGAAAACAAGTGTCTGTTTTCTAAGCTGCCCGTCTGTGGAAGGGTGCTGCGCATGCATTGTATTAGTAAAATTTATAATAAATGTTCGTGTGTAAATACGCACTCTATGCCTGCCAGCTGTTACACAGTGCCATCGGCCTGACCCTTAGGGTAAGTACTTGCTGATTTCCTTTCTAAGTAACCACTTTTAGGTTTCCTCTTACCAAGGTGGGATCCATCTTCCTTAGGACCTGGGGCAGTGTCCTGGCACATACTATGATATTTTAAAAATACGGAAGTGGGTAAACTTCTGAGAAACAATTTTACCCAGCAACCAGCAATGGCAATTATGAGGCTTTAGGATAAAACGGCAGAAGGGGAAAGTCTTTTTAATTTCTGTAAGGCGCAGCTCAAAGTTTTTACACTAAACAGAATAAACTCAAAACGACAAAAAATAAGACAACAGCCACAACAGTAGCTACCACAGGCTCAGCGCAGTGTCTGGCTCAGTCGTGTCCGACTCTTTGCGACCCCAGAACCCACCAGGGTCCTCTATCCATGGGATTTCCCTGGCAAGAATACTGGAATGGGTGACCATTGACTTCTCCAGAGAATCATCCTGACCCAGGGCTCCTGCATTGCAGGCAGTTTCTTAACCATTTGAGGCAGAGAAGCCCTCAGTGCTAACTCTGAGCCAAACTCTTTTTCATGTTGTTGTTTAGTCGCTCAGTTGTGCCCAACTCTTTTGTGACCCCATGGGCTGCAGCCCGCTAGGCCCCTTTGTTCATGGGATCCTCCAGGCAAGAATCCTGGGGTAGGTTGCCATTTCTTCCTCCAGGGGATCTTCCCCATCCAGGATCGAACCTGAGCCTCCTGCATCGGCAGGTGGATTCTTTACCACAGGGCCACCAAGGGAAGCCCAAGCCTTTCACGCACAATCCCATAAATAGAACTTACAAAAAGTAGGCGAAGTGACAAAAACAAAAAAATCTGAAACAGCATTTCCTGAATAGTTAATGATCAACTCGCCCTCCGTTTATTGATTTGACCGAGCATTTACACCGCACCTACAGGCACCGGGCCCCGGGGAACCTAAACTGAGGCCAGGCAGCCTCCAGCCGGCGAACTCTCTCTCCCAGCGTTATCACAACAACTCAGCGGCCCAAGGTCTGCTCTCGGTCTGAGCGGGCCGGCCTGGGCGGGGCCCTGAGCCCCCACCAGACCCATACGTGCGTCCCCGGCACACGCACACGCGCAGCCGGCTTCACAGTGACGTAACAGGTGTGGCCCCGGCGCAGACCGGAAGGAGCGGCGTGACGCGTTGTGCGCAGGCGCGACTGCAGCGCGGCGTACCCCTCCCCGGCCGCCGCTAGGGGGCGCCGGGGCCGCCCGCGCTGTGGGGGAGGGGCGGTGGCGGCGCCAGGCGGGACCACGTGCGCACCACGTGGCGCACCCCCTCCCCCCGGGCCGTCCCAGACCCCGGTAGGGCAGCTGGGCCGGCCACGCCGCACGGCCTGCGGCCCGAGAAGGCGAACGGATGAGTCTCTTGGCCGGCGCCCCTGCTGACCTCTGACCCCACCACCTTTAGGGTTCACCCCTCGCCGGTGGCCAGCGCCGTGTGTTTATAAACAGAACTCCCGGCGGGACCGAAAGCCCGGATCGCGGACTTACACCCGGCGGGAAGCGGGGCCGTCCTTGCCCGGCGCCTCCCGCGCATGCGCTCCACGCGCCGCCGCGAGGCTCCTCCCGCGCCTGCGCGCTGCCGGGCGGGGCGGGCGGGGCTGCGCCGGGCGGGGCCGCGCGGCCGGGAAGGGGCGGCGGGCGGCCGGCGGCCGGGAAGGTGGGCTGGGCTCCGGGGCCCCGCCCCGCCCGGTCCTCCCCAGCCGCTCCGGGCCGGGTGACCTGGCCCCGCCCCTCGCCTCTGCGGCGGGGCACAGGCGGGTGGTCGTGCGGGTGAAGTGCTGGCCTTCCCTGGCTGTGTCTTCGGCCCGCACTGGCCGTCCCCTCCCCCGGGGCAGGGTCCACCTGGCCCTGAAGAGAGCCTTGGACACGCCTGTCCGCCCGTGTTGGTCAACGGTGAACGGAATGTGGTGTGTGCACGCAGTAGAATTGCTGTTCCACCTTAAGCAACAGAGCAGAATGCGTGTTATGTGTTAGTCACAGTATGTGCTAACAAGGGTGGACCCGGGAGAATAATCCAGACTCACAGTGACATGGGCTTTCTGATTCCACGTCCGCCAGGTCTCTGGAATAGGCAGATTCATGGACACGGGCTGGGGAGGGGGGCAGTGTGAACATCCCTAATGCCACCGAACTGTACACTTAAGGGGCTTCCCTGGTGGCATCACAGACTCAAAGGACGTGGATTTGAGTAAACTCCGGGAGCTGGTGATGGACAGGGAGGCCTGGCCTGCTGCAATCCATGGGGTCGCAAAGAGTCGGACACGACTGAGCGACTGAACTGAACTGGTGGCTCAGTGGTCAAGAATTCGCTTGCCAAGCAGGAGACACAGGAGACACCAGTTTGATCCCTGGCTGGGGAAAATCCCCAGGAGGAGGAAATGGCTGCCCACTCCAGTATTCCTGCCTGAAGAAGCCCATGGACAGAGGAGCCTGGAGGGCTACAGTCCATGGGGTCAAAAAGAGTGGGACACGACTGAGCATACACACACAGAATGTATATGTAAAAACAGTTAAGGCAAGTAAACTGTATGTTACATATATTTTACCATCTCCTCCCCCCGTACCTCCTCAATCAGATCAAGTTGTGCCTAATTTTCACGCTGTGAAAATATCCTCTCTCTGTTTTAAAAGGCCTGGACCCCTCTCATCCTGCCTGTGTCATCTCAAACCCCTGGAGCCCCAACCAGGTGTCTTACCTGGAACTCACCACCCTCGTCACTTCTCTTTGCTCTTCTGACAGAAATGCATGTCCCTCTCCTTTCCTCGTGGCGTGTCCTTCTCGTATATTCATTTATTTAATCAACACGGATCCATGCTTAACTTGTGCTAGACTTTCTGCAAGGAGCGGGGGATACACGGGTGATCAAAGTGGGGGAGGGCTTTCCTCTCCAGGACTGGGTCTGGCAGAGGACACAGTCAACAAACAAACAGAAAACTAGCAGATGCTGGATGAGTGTTTAAGAAGCCTCCATGGATGTGACAGCAGCTCCTGATCTGAGATCTAATCTAGATCAGGTGACCGAAGGAGCCCTCTGAGGGCTGGCTGTTTGAACAGAGACCTTAGGAGATAAGGAGAGGCCATGGAAGATGGGGGAAGCGGGGGGGATTTCCAGGAAAAGGGAGAGAGAGGATGGCTCATGGAAAACACCCTGAGGCCAGAACCATTGCAGTGTGTTTGAGGAACAGAAAAAAGATGCGGTGGTAGAAGCTGGTGAGCAAGAGAGTTTTCAGAAGTGAGGGCTGAGAGAGAGGTGCTCCCATCACTAAAACCAGGGGACAGATGACCCTTGAGCTTCCTAGTGTAAGACAACCGTCTTGTCTGACTCAGTTTGATGGCTCAGCCCAGCAGTTCTTACTTGGGGGTGGTGGGGGTGGGTCTCGGGTGGTGACCTGGAGGAGGTGGTGGGGAGGTGTGGGCAGCTGATGGCTGGATGGGGCTGGATGTCCAGGTTGGCAGGTGATGCCGGCTGTCAGCTGGAGGCTCAGATGGGGCTGCCCAGCTGTGGCTTCCTCTGCTGGGCCTTAGGGTCCAGGGAAGGTGGTCTCAGGGAAGGTGGACTTCTTGCAAAAAGCAAGGTGGCCCAAGGAGCCAGGTGGAAAAGGCCTTTTCAGACATATCCTTGGAAGTTACAGTCACGTGGTTGGTCGGAGCAACTGGAAACCTGCCCAGCTTCAAGGAGAGGTGATGGAGACCGACCTCTTGGCCGGAGGAGTGTCCAAAATTTTTGGAGTCATGTTTTAAAAATCACTACACTGAGGGACTTCCTTGATGGTCCATTGGTAAGGCTCTGTGTTCCTAATGCAGGAGGCCTGGGTTTGTCCTTTTTCTGGGAACTAGATCCTGCATGCTACAACTAAGGCCTGGCATAGCCAAATAAATACTTTAAAAATACTTAGTTATTAAAAAAAAATCACTACACACAGGTGATCTTAGCTCTTGTTAGGGATTGAGAAAATGATGCTTCCAGGTGAAGTGACTTGCCCGGGGTTAGAGGGTGGAGCCAGGCTGGGACTGAGTGATGCAGGCCCCTCCATCTGTCCTAGCGCCCTTGGCTCCAGCCACAGGGAAGGGGCTTCAGGATCAGAGCCTCCCCACCCAGCTGTGGCTGAGCCATCTTCCCTGGAGGCCTCTGGAGCACTGCCCTCGGGTTCATGACCCTGTTTTAGCGCCTTCACAGCCCTTGTCACTCGGATTGTGGTTCACTGTCTGTCTCGTCCACTCCCGGGAGTCTAGTGTGTCTCACCCACAGCTGCCTTTGCAGCCTCCAGCTGGGGCTCAGCCTACAGGAAGCATTGATGAAGCCCCCAAGAGGAACCTATGAGTTTAATGCACGTGTACCCATCCTTCCTAACTGCCTCTTGCAACAGCCGTGTAGTCATCAATGTCCTCCCAGCAACCTTTGGACCCATTTTAAAGATCAGCAAATAGAGGCTCCAGAAGGGAGAACCAGGACTCAAGCTGCAGATGGGATTGTTTTTTCCACTGATGACAGCCCTCTTCCCCCATCGCCCAAACTTGTCACGGGTTAATGAGGCAGTAGATGTGAGGTTTCAGTCAACTGTGGAGTCCCCCGGGGCAATCGTGAGGAGTCCTTATTAAAATGCACATGTCTGGGGACCTCCCTGGTGGTCCAGTGCCCAAGACTCTGTGGTCCCAACACAGGGCTTCTGGGTTGGATCCCTGGACAGGGATCCCAGATGCTGCAACTAAAGATCCTGTATGCTGCAACTAAGACCCGGTGTGGTCAAATACATAAATATTAAAACAAAAAACAAAATGTGTTTACATCACACCTCATCTTGGAAAGAACACACTCTCTGGCAGCCTCGCCTTCCTCAGTGGCACCGATGGTTGGTTTTAAAAAAAGATGCTCGGGGAGGCTAACTGCAGGGGATCCACGAGTCTCATCACCTGTCAGCAGGATGGAGAGGCCCAGGTGTGACTGGGGGTCCCCAGGATCCAACAGGAAAACTCGGTGTCCCTGCCGCACGTGACTTGTCCCCCTGCCAGCAGAGTGGAGGAACTGGCGGCATCCCAGATATCACTCGTCCTGAGTAGTGCCATGAAGGTCTTGCAAGACACGGGGCCGGCGTGTTAATTCCAGGGCCGCAGACGTGGAGGCCGTTCTGCTGCTGCAGGAGCCGCGAGGCCGTGCGTGCTGCTGTGACAGCAGTTCACAGGGACGGCAGACAGCTTCTCTGAAGCCTGTTTTTAAAGACTCCAGTGTCCCTCGTCACCAAACCGTAATTTGCTCAGAATTTTTAAACTTTTATTTTTGGCTCAGTTTCCTCTGGCAGTGTTTCACTGCCTCACATCTGGATAAAATCCAGGAGCTATTTCAGTATCAAGATATGTTAGTATATCTATCTATGGAATGTCCTGTTATTCTTCATTTCTTTCTGGCTTTAGAAATAAAAAGTCTACTACCCCCCCCCAACACGATGTAACTTAATAATCCAGGTTCCTGTACTTTGCATAAGCAGTATGATCTTTCGGTAACAAACAGAGTTTGGTAACTGAACGCGTGAGAACAAATTACAGAGTATAGTTGGAATTCTAACATTTAAGGAAGTTGGAGACCAGCTCTAAAGCAATAATACCCAGTCATACTGAGTGAAGTAAGTCAGACAGAGAAGGACATCTTATAAGTGGAATCTAAAAAGAAATGTCACAAATGAACTTACTTACAAAACGGGAAAGCGGCTCACAGATTTAGAAAATGAACTTAAGGCTGCAGGGGAGAGGGATAGTTTGGGAGTTTGGGAAGGTTGCATACACACTGCTAGATTTAAAATGGGTAACCCACAAGGACCTCCCGTATAACACGTGGAGCTCTGCTCAGCGTTACATGCAGCCTAGATGGGAGAGGGATTTGGGAAAAAACAGATAAATGCATATATGTGGCTGAGTCTCTTTGCTGCTCACCTGAAACGACCTCAATATTTACCCCAATATAAAAAAAAAATAAAGCAATGATACTCAAAATGTTGTCTGCGGACCGCTCCTGGTCTGTCCATTGTTTACTGGTCTGTGACAAGAAAGTAGAGAAATTGGAAGTGTCTTTAGAAACTTCTTTAGCAATTTGACCTTCTAATGGCATCCAGGAGTGGCTTCCGTAGACTTGTCATCTGTTCATGTTTTCTAAAACTCAGTGGGAAGAAGACCCAAGTCTGGTCCTTCAGCGCACGCAGAACTCACTGGAGACTTTTGTACATGACGTCAGCTCTAGCTTGCGCCATGTTTTGGAGGACTGCCAGCCTTCCTGTGGCCTTTGGGAAGCTACTGGAACATGGGTAGGGGGACCTCTCTGGTGGCCCAGCGTCTCGGACTCTGTGCTCCCGTGCAGGGGGCCTGGGTCCAACCCTGGTTGGGGAACTGCATCCAACATGCCGCAACTAAGAGTCTGCATGCTGCAAGACCCGACGCAGCCAGATCAATCAATCTATATATATTAAAAATAGAAGGGTGGGTACACAGCAAAGAAAAAAAATCAATAGCAGCTCTATATACAAATAACACCTCCTTAGAAAATGCAAGGTCTGTATGCTTATGGCCGATTGATGCTGATGTATGGCACAAACCAACACAACACTGTAAAGCAATTATCCTCCAATTAATTAAATAAATGAAAAAACAGAAGATCCCTTTTACAATAAAAGTTGAAATTTCCCAGGAGTAAACTAAACAATGTGCCAAGTCTTTAGGACAGATTATTCTCCCTTTAAGAACTGGAAGACATGAGGAATTTTCTTGATGAAACTGAGATGTTTTAGCTGATGAAGAAGGACCCTGACCACTTTGCAATAGACTGGAAGAAGTCTGGCTCTTTGAAGACACAGGGAAACAGGCCTGCCTCTGTGAACCTGCCTAGTCCAGACATGTCATGTAACAGGGCTCCTGGGCTGCTGTCATTATTTCCTGTCTGGCCTCTAGCTTAGCTTATAATGTTTGCAAGGTCATCCATAGTGTGGCGTGCATCACGCCACTCCATTCCCTTCCGTGGGTGATTAATGCCCCATTGTGTGGCTGGACCACAGATTGCTTCCATCCCTTTACTGGTGGACACTTGGGTTGTCTCTACTTCTGGGCTGTTGTCAGTAATGCAGCAAAGAACTTGTATGAACAAACATCTGATTCCCCATTTTCAATTCTTTAGGGTAAACAGCTAGGAGTGGAACTGCAGGGTCCTGTGGCAGCTCCACTTTAACCTTTGGAGGAACTGACAGACTGTCTGTCGTAGTGGCACTGCGTCACTCTACATTCCACTGGCAACACGCGAGGGTCCCAACTTCTGCCCGTGCTCACCGGCACCTTTTACTGTCCACTGATACAATGATATCCATCCTAGTAGGTGGGAGGTGGCATCTCACTGTGGTTTTCTCCTGCGTTTCCCTATTGCTTACTGATGCTGAGCATCTTTTCTGTGCTTGTTGGCTATTTCTGTATCTTCCCTGGAGAAAAAAAATTTCCTATAGATATTAAGAAAACTATTAGCAAAATTTAATAAAATATCGATAAACTATTCTAAAAGAAGGCAGACCAGTTGGACTTTGTTTTCTGTTAGAATCACCTGGGCAGTTGGAAAAAAAAAAAATCCCTGATATGCAGGTTGTAGCCAATACAGATTACATCGGGGTCATTTTTTAAAAGCACAGCGGATGGTTTCAACATGCAGCTGGTCTTAAGGACCAGGGTTCTTGAGCAGAGCATCTCAGACTTTACTGTGTCTGTGAATCACCTGTGGATCTGATTTAAATACAGATTCTGATCCAGAAAGTCTGGGGTGGGGCCTGAGGCTCTGTATCTTTAACAGACTCCTAGGTGATGCTGCCGCCGCCCAGATGAGGACAGCATCGTGAGCAGCAAAACCCTTCCAGGGATGCTGATGTTAGAGCCCTTGGACCACACGTTGCACGTCAAGATGGACTGCTGGGTCAGGCCAGCAGCGCCAGCATCAGACATCTGTTAGAAATGCAGACTCCCAGGCCCCACCCCATGCCACTGCCAGGGGATCTGTACTTTGCATGATCCTGGGTGCCTGCCAGGCACATGGCCCAGGGATAAGCGCTGGTCCAGGGCACCTCCTGTCTTGGCCCCGTGCTCTCTCCCGCTTGTGGAGTAGGAGACAGGCAGTGGGCGTCACCACTGCACAGCAGCAACAAGCAAGTCCTTCTCCAGTGCTCTGACCTTCCTCGGATCAAATGCTCTGATTATGAGGGTGATTGTGCGGTTCCGGCCAAGCTGGCCACACCTCTGATCATCTCGGAGTGCCCCGGTGCCCTGGAGATGGCAGTGCAGGACGGGAATTGAACAGAACCGAGCTGAGAAAACCCGCAGCAGCTCCTCCCCGACTTTTTGCCAATCGGCCTGGCTGTTACTGCCAGAACTGATCTGGGGCTCTCCCAGGGGGTCCTCCCCTGCCCTCTGGCTTCCAGGATAAATGGGGAGCTGTGAGCCAGGCCAGCACCCCTCCTGGAGCGATCCTCTAACAGGATGGCTTGGAGAGACACTGGTGGGAGGGTCACGTATATTGGCTGGAACCGGAGAGTGTTCATTCAATTACTGGATGAGCCTTTATTGATTGATTGCTGTGTGACAGGCAGCTGGCTAAGTGCTGGGGACACAGCTCCAGGGTGAGGAAAACAGTTGGTGATAAAGCATCACCCAAATGCATGGAAACCATGAGCAAGCACTACCGAGGAGAGCCGCCCTGTGCTTGGGATGGACGGAAGGCGGAGTTTTGACCTTGCCTGGGTGGAGGGACCTCAGGGGTAAATGGGAGTAGAAAGCTCTGAGGAGGGGGACGGGCAGGCCGCAAGCAAAGAGGCTGTGAAACAGAAGGTAGAGCTCCGCCTATCTGTGCAAGTGACCGCCTCCTTAGACCTTAGACTTTCCCCTGCTCCCCAGTGACAACAGTCCTGGCCAATCCAGGCTGGAGTTATGGGCCACGGTGTCACTTGGGAAGTACTGTGAGCTCTTCTGTTGGGATGACCCCAAACTCCCAGGCAGCACCTGCCTTCAAGACAACAGCACGCGCTCCCCAAGGGTGTGTCTCAAGCAAGACGGGGCCCCAGGTCATCCCCAGAAGCAGCAGCTGGGCTCTTGTCTGCAAAGAGCCCCTCGTCTAACTGCAAAGACGGGAAGCCAAGGAGAAGAAAAAGAACCGAGCGGCGTGGTTTACAGAACGGCTAATGAGGGCTGGAGGGTGGCGGGCTGCTGGGGGTGGTTCAGAGGAAAGAGGGTGCTGAGAATGGGGTGGCCTCGTGGGGTGGGCCAGGTGGGAACACAGCACAGACAAGAGGACTAGGGGGGGGGGCGGGGGGCGGCTGACCCTGGAGGGAGGGCTGGCATGCTTTGTCTCGAGGGCACACACCTGAACAGGTGTGGCTCGGATGGGAACCCAGGTATGACTGACGGCAGGGACGCTGCGCCTCCCAGAACCCAGCTGCTCAGTGGTAGACACGCTGGGTTTGCCAAGATGGTGGGCTTCCAGGTGGTTGCTCCAAAGGGCTCTTGTGGACGAGAAGGCACTTGGTGTTGGAAAGGATGGTAGGGGCTGCCGCTACCCCCTTTCCTCCAGGACTGGACTCTGGTCCTCCTGCTCACGGAAGGTGTCCTCTAGAGGCTGCTCAAACATACCCCCACCACAAAGGGCCTCCAGCTCTTTTCCAGAGACGCTGGCTTAAGTCCTTGATCCTGAGCCAACATCTACTTCTCTTTTCCTTTTTTATAAAAATGATGAACAGGATGAATCCGAGAGGAGACTCATGAGATCTCAAGACCTTCCTCCCGCTTGCCATCGACCCATTCGTCACAACTGTGCATCTGGTCCATGAGCCTTCTCTGGGTCTGTGTCACTCAACCCCCTCAGCCCGTGGTGTCGAAATCCTCCCAGAGGTGCAGCGGGAGCACCTCTGTCAGATGTTCGGCTGAAACCCAGAGACGTCACCTCTTCAGCCTTATCCTCCTAGGAAGGAGAATGCCCTTCCTCCGGTATAAATGGTCTCTGTGGATCCAAAGCACTTTCCCAGGGACCAGCTATCCCTGCCTTCTTCTCCCAGAGCCTATGAGAATGTAGAAAATTTTTTAAAATTTTATTTATTTGGTTTTGGCTGTGCTGGGCCTTCTGGCCTTTTCTCTAGTTGTGGAGATGGGGACTACGCCCCGTTGTGGTGTGCGGGCTCCTCACAGTGACGACTTCTCTTGTCCTGGAGCTCGGGCTCAAGGGCACACAGACTCAGCAGTTTCTCCGTCGCATGTGGGGTCCTCCTGTGTCAGGGACTGAACCCACGCCCCCTGCACTGGCAGGTGGATGCTTTACCACTGAGCCACCAGAGGAGCCCAGAGTGCAGAGTTCTCGCCCAGCCAGCCAGCCAGCTGTGCAGCTCCCAGAGCCGGCACTTCCCTGCCGGTTTCGTTTTGCAGAGTGGGCCGTCGGTGCGTCTCTCCTCTCCCGGCTCCTCCCCAGTCCTCGGGGCTCTCTGAGGATGTGGACTGCACCTGTCACGGTCACTGCCTTGCTTCCCAGAGTCCAGCAGAGAGGAGGTGCCGGGCCACGGCGCTGTCTGGGCCGGGCTGAGCCGGCTGCTTCCGAATTGTGTTCCTGAGTCCGTCCTGTCTTTCCCAGACCCCCACCTGTCTGCTGCTGTCGAGATACACACATATAGACATAAAACCATTCTGTGAATGATTAACGGTCTTTAGAAATATTTATTTGCTTGGCCGCGCTGGGTCTCGGTGTGGCGCCTGGCTCTTGGTCGGGGGGTGCGGACTCTCCAGCTGCGGCCGTGGCTTGCCTGCTCCTTGGCATACGGGACCTTAGTTCCCGACCAGGGACTGAACCCGAGTTCCCTGAACAGCAAGGCGGATCCTTAACCATTGGGCCGCCAGGGATGTCCCTGTTACTATTTAAAAGAAAAAAAAGCATATTTTCTCTGCTAGCCAGACAAGTAACACATGCCAAGCAACACATAGGGTCCTAAAAACAACCAAACAAAAATCATTCATAATTCAGTACTCAGAGGTAAGGATGGCCAACATTTTCTTCTTGAGTCTGTGTGTGATCAGATTTCCAACTGCCGGTGGACTATTTCCATCAGGAAACATCTCAGACATCTCAAGTCCTACCTGACCCCAATCAACCTCGGCTTCTTCCCCACTCACGCTGCTCCTGAGTCCCCAGGTGGGTACACAGCGTCCCCATGCACCAGGTCACCCAGGAGAGAAACCTTGTATTGTTTCCCTTTTGACCCTCAACATCCAACTACTCACTGAGACTTGCCCAGTCTAGCTCCCTGGAATGTGGTTTTGCATCATTACCCTAGTTTCCCCGGTCTCCAAAGCAGCACCTTATCACTGCTCATCTGAATGATGCAACATTCTTATGGGTCTCCTAACTTTTAATCTCTCCCACCGGGGCAATCTAATCTCTACATGGCCTCTGAGACAAGACCCAGATTATCTCTCTGCTCAAAACCCTTCACGGACACCCCATTTTCCACAGAAAACTTCAGTATGACATCCAGAGCTCCACATCCTTTAGTACAAATCTCTATCTTCATTCCCATCTTCTACTCAAACGCCTCCTCCTCCAGGAAGCCTCCCCTGGTCTGAAGGCTCAAAAGTAAAACAGCCCCCTTTTGCTGCTCTCCCTCGGTGCTCTGGTTGGGTACCTTTAACAGGTCTTAGCAGTCATCTTACAGCTTTTATCCTGTGTCTGTCTTGCTCTCCCTCTAGACCTGGGACTCTAGTGCTGGGGACCCCTTCACTTATCTCTGTGTGACCTGAGAGAATCACAGTGGTGTTCAGGTTGACTTCAACACAGGATTCTTCTGGGCACAGAAACTCTATTTTTTTAAAGGAAAACTTAGTTTAAAATTTATCTACTTAGAGACTTACCTGGTGTTCCAGCAGCTAAGACTCTGCATTCCCAACGCAGGGAGGGCCCGAGTTCCATCCCTGGTCAGGGAATTCGGTCCCACATGCCAAAACTTAAGATCCCGCATGCCCCAACTGAGACCGGGCAGAGCCAAATAAATAAATAAAAATATTTAAAAAATGTATAGACTTAAAAATTTAAAATAGCTGTTCCCCAGCTGTCCATTTTCTCTGAGACCACCTGAGGTACTGCCAATCCCTTTCCCACTGGATACAGTTTGGTGGAGGGAGGGTGGGGCGGGGTATACAAGCAGGAGTCTGCCATCCTCAAGCCCAAGGGGGTCTAGACCCACATGAGACCCAACCAGATGCTTTTTCCTCTGTAAACGGAATCTGGGGCAAAAGAAGAAAGAGGCCAGAAGTGAGTGGAGTTCTCCCCCACCCTTCCCTGCTCCTCCTGAGGGGCCTTCCATCTTCGGGTCAGGCCCCCACGCCTTGTGGGTTAGCTCACACTCAAGATATTTTTGCACATTGCGAGATGAAGACCTCAGGACTCCAAAGGGCTTTGCCAGCCTCCTGTTTCCTGTCTGACAGTACGTGAAGCCATGTTCAGCTTCACCCCATGGTACTTCCAGTTCTGGAGGCCGGCTTCATCACTTGTCTAAACATCCTGGACCTCTGAGCTGGCGGTCTGGGCACAAGCAACTGCCCACCGTTTCCAGTTCAGCCTAACAGACAAATCTTTCGTGGCGGGGAAATGTGGGCACATGCACCCATTAAATCTTGTTTTATTTAAGACACTGAGAGGGTAGATTTCTCTCTGGAAATATCCTAAGAGCAAAACAAGCAAAATCTCCAAAGTGGGACTTTTTGAAGGTAAATTTATAGACATGTGTGTTCTCTCTCCTCATCCCAACCTATAGTTTCGCTTCCAGGAAAGGGTGTGGTTTGTTTTCAGAGACCAGTGACTGTTTGTTAACCTGCTGCTCCCTCGAGAAGGAGAATCATCATGTGATGGTGATGCAGTCATCCGTAACTTTGTGGATATGGTTCTTGCTTCTTAACTCTTGAGCTGCCTTGGTTCCTGTTCATTTCCAAGCCTAGTCTTCACATTCCCAGTGGTCCAGCAAGCACTGGATCAGGTACAGATGAGTTTGCAGGCAGCAGGAGAAAGTAAAACTGAAAGTGTCAGTTGCTCAGTTGTGCCCGACTCTTTGTGACCCCATGGACTGTAGCCCGCCGGGCTCCTTTGTCCATGGGATTTCCCAGGCAAGAATACTGGAGTGGGTTGCCATTTCCTTCTCCAGGGGATCTTCCTGACCCAGGGATCCAACGCAGGTCTCCTGCTTTGGGAGATTCTTTACCGTCTGAGCCACCAGTGGCTTGAATGTTGGCAATAGGCAGCCCAAGTCTGGTCGGTGGCTCCACAGTCA